TCTGTTTGTCCATCCGTTTCTGGGTGATATGATGTACTCATGCGAAGTTTAGTACCACACAAGCGAAACAATTCGCGCCAAAGCTTACTAATGAAGATAGGGTCGCGGTCAGAGACGAGACTACGTGGTATGCCATGATATTTCCAGATAATATCAAGAAATAACTGAGCCAACTTAGAAACAGAGTAATGTGTTGGCAACGGTCCCAAATGAAATCCCTTTGAGAATCGGTCTACAACGACCAAAATAACTGTGAAGCCCTGAGAAGAAGGTAAACCAGTAATAAAATCAAGGGACAAATCTTCCCAGATAGCCGTAGGTACGGGCAAAGGTTGTAAAAGACCAGCTGGTTTGTGAGTATCAGACTTCACTTGTTGGCAGATAGAACATTGTTGGATGAAAAGTTTAACATCTTTACGGAGTCCATCCCAATAAAAATTTGCCAACAGTCGAGCAACAGTTTTGGTTATGCCCATGTGGCCACCAATTGGAGTACTGTGGTATTCATCAATAAGCTTGAGGCGGAAGCTATTACTAGGATCCAGCCATAAATGATTTTTGAATAAAATCAAGCCATTATGCAACTTATAGTCAGGAGTAGCAGCAGGGTCAGTTTGAATACGCAAAAGTAATGTAGTTTAAGCAGAACTAGTGGCCACAGATTGTCTCAACTGATCCAGAAAAATGAAATTAGGCATGGAAAGGGCATAACACATACCAGAGGAAACATCAGGGAGTCGAGAGAGGCCATCTGCAACAACATTGTGAGGACCCGGCTTGTAATGGAATGTGTACTCATACCCCAGTAGCTTGGAGAGGTAATGTTGTTGTTCGGGAGTTTGGATAACCTGGGACAGAATCTCTTTGAGGCTCTTATGATCAGTATTGATAACAAATGGGTACCCCAAAAGGTATTGGCGCCATTTCTTGACGGCCGAAGTAATGGCGTGTAGTTCCCGGACATAAGTCGATGAATGGAGAAGTTTGGGGCTGAATGGTTTGCTGAAAAATGCCACTGGCTGATTGCGTTGCATTAGAACGGCACCCATAGCTGTGCCAGATGCATCCGTGTCAACAGTTAAAGGGACAGAGAAATCTGGCAAGGCGAGTACTGGAGCCTGGGTCATAGCTTGCTTGAGAGCGTCAAATGCATGTTGAGCGTCTGAAGTCCAGGCAAATGCATCCTTGCGGAGTAGAGCCGTAAGAGGGGAGGCAATGGTGGCATACTGTTTGACGAATTTCCGGTAAAAACCCATAAGGCCGAGGAAGCCACGAAGAGCCTTGACATTGGCAGGAGGAGGCCAGTCCAGCACTGCTTGAATCTTGGAAGGGTCAGGTTGAACCCCAGCAGTGGAAATGATATGGCCCAGATATTCCAGTTGTCTTTGTGCGAATAAGCATTTAGAAAGTTTGAGATAAAACTGACCTTCCAACAAACATTGAAATACCTGTTCCAAATGAGAAACATGTTGTGTAAGAGATGAACTATAAACAAGGATGTCATCGAAGAATACAACAACAAAACGACGGAGAAAAGTGCCGAGGAGGGAATTCATGGTAGCCTGGAATGTGGAGGGGGCGTTACAGAGTCCAAACGGCATCACGCGGTACTCATAATGTCCCTGGTGGGTACGAAAGGCAGTCTTAGCAATATCATCAGGGTGCATTAATATCTGGTGGAAGCCTTGTCGAAGATCGAGCTTGGAAAACCAGGTTGCACTACCAAGTTCGTCCAACAACTCATCAATGGTAGGCATCGGAAAGCGGTCATGGACAGTGACGGCATTAAGAGCCCTGTAATCAACACAACAACGCCAGGACCCATCTTTCTTGCGAACCAGCAATACCGGTGATGAAAACGGGCTCCGACTTGGTTGGATCATGGATTTGTCGAGCAATTCTTTGACTTGTTTTTCTAGTTCACATTTCTGGGAATGGGGGTAACGATATGGCTTCACGTTGACCGGGGTGGAATTAGGGAGGAGGTAGATACGGTGGTCGGTTGGGCGAGAGGGGGGTAATGATGGTGGGGGTTGGAAGAGGGGGTCGAATCGAAGTAGAAGGGCAGTGATGTCAGGTGGTAGGGGTGTGGTGTTGGGAGGTATTTTGGTGGTGGTTGGATCGGGTAGGGGAAGGATTTGTATGGTGAAAAGTTTAGATGCACCATTAGTTTGGATGCACTGCTTAAGTTGTGGGCTGGACATTGGGTCGGGTCGGTTGTGGTGGATGCCTCGTAATAGGACCGGTTGGCCTTGGTGGGTAAATGAAATTGTGAGTTGGGTGTAGTCCATGAGGACAGGCCCAAGAGACTTGAGCCAGGGCGCGCCCAAGACAATGTCAGCACCTCGTAACGGAAGGATGTAGAAATTAACATGGAGGGTGTGCTCTTGAATTTGAATTTTGACATCAGGACAGAGGCGATCACAACTCAAGAGGCTGCCGCTACCAACCATAACGGTCAGGGGGTTGTAAGGGATTGAAGGGAGATCTAAGAATTTGGCTACCTGGTCTTGAATGAAATTGTGGTCGCTGCCACCGTCGACGAGAATGGAAACGGGGTTGTTGCGGATTTGGCCTTGGAGGCGTATGGTGGAGGAACCAACACCGCCAGTGAAGGCATGGAGGCTGACCTGGGAAGGGGTGTCGTCAGAAACGGGCTCTGGAGGAGGTGGGTCCAGGACCAAGGTAGGGTCAGGTGTAAAATCGTCCACGATGGGGTCATCGGTAGTTAAGAGGAAAAATTTACCCTTGCAACGGTGGGATGGGGTGAAGAGTTCGTCACAGTTATAGCAAAGGCCCTTTTCACGACGGGCAGCCATATCATCTGGGCTAAGGCGGCGGAAGTTGACACGAGGTTGGGGTGTCGGTAGGAGGGGGGTGAGGTAGTGGTGGTTGGGGAGGCAGTGTGTGAACTAGGTGTTAGAGCTTGGGGTTTGGGGAAGAAGGCACGCCGACGTTCCTCGATTTTGTCTTCCTGCAGCTTGGCAAGTTGGGTCGTGTGATCCAGAGAGGCAGGGCGGAGAGCCTGAACCTCACGACAGATTTCCGGTGTGAGGCCAGAAATGAAACAGTTCAGGGCAAATGGGGCTGGTAAGCCAACGATGCGATTGGCCAGGCATTCAAACTCCGTAAGATATTGTTGGACTGACCCCTTTTGTGTGAGTTTGAATAGCGCACCAGAAGGTTCATCATAAAGTGACGGAGCGAAACGTGTTTCCAAGGCACGGAGGAAACCGAACCAAGTCTGAATCTGGCCATTCCAGTACATCCACTGGTACCAACTGAGAGCTGGTCCATCCATATAGAACGAGGCTACCTGAAGGCGTTCTGATTTTGGTGTATTGTGGTAATCGAAAAATTGGGAAATTTTGAAGATCCAACCAAGGGCGTCTTTCCCATCAAACCGGGGAACTTCGAGTTTCATATGTGGACGACGGAAACTGTCGGTGGAGTTGGGGTTTGAAGGGGGAACGTGTGGTGGTGGGGAAGGGGGCCGAACCATCAAAAGGGAGAGTTGTTCCAGGATAGAATCAACTTTGAGGGACAAATAATCCAAGCGTTCGACATTGGTAGGGTGGTTGGCCATGAATGAACGAGAGCACCAAATTGTTAGGTGTTTCTTCCTTAGTTGATGGCTAAGGGAACCCCTGAGAGTGGATAGCAGAAAGAAGGGAGATATTTGATTTTAAGCCTACCTTTTCATTCATTTGAAAGGCCATATATAGCCATTACAAAACATGCAAAACAAAAATTGTATTTATTTTAGGAATTTATTTGTTAGAATGTTAGGTTAATAAATAAAGGTTCTTGAGATAAGAAGAATTACTTGATATATAGGAGGGTTATCGATTTAAATGAAAGAGAAGACTATGTAAAGAAGGATTTTTCAAATTTCGTCAAAAAATTTGTGAGAATAAATTTTCAAGTTTCATTCAAAAAAAAATTAAAAAGGAGAATTTTTAGAAATATATGTGTAATATATTTTGAAATAATGAGCATGTGAATATACGCATAAATAATCCAATCACCTTAAATAAATTGGATGATTTTTCTTTAATTTTATGGTGTTTTTATGTGTACTTTTATTATTGTTGTACATAAAAAAAAAGAATTTTTTTCCTTCAATATATAT